TATGGAATTGGAATTTTACCTGATATATAGAATGAATTAGATGAATATAATTTTATGTTTTGATGAAATATTACTATAAATTTTATATTATATAATGAATTTTTATAACTTTGACTCATGCCTTAGCATACAGCTTGTTTATATTGTATCTGGTTTACTGTTATCAATTGTTGTATTGGAATATTGTCTTATCTCACATAATTTTGTCAATTTTATTAATGAAGTGAACCAGAATTAGAATTTTGATATTTATTGTATCCAATGTAAATTTGTTTATGTATGTCCGCTTTATGCTTTATAATTGTTTGCATGTATGTTTGTTTTGTTTTTTGTTTCTGACATGTTTCAATTAATTATTGTAACTTAAATTTTGATCTTGTGACTCATTCTATATCCCATGGCTTGTATTATGCCTGTATCAGGATCAATTAGAAAGTGAAATAAATGAATGAATGAATAAAAGGAAAAGTGGTGGTATATTTTTTGACTTGGAGAAGGCTTTTGATTGTGTGAACCATTATACATTATTGGTTAAAATGAAATATTATGGTGTAAGCGGCATGATGCATTCTCTAATTGAGTCATATTTAGAAAATAGATACCAAAGGGTAAAATTTAACAATAAATTATCAAATTGGGCAAAATTGATAAAGGTGTTCCTCAAGGATCGATTTTGGCACCACTATTGTTTTTGATTTATGTAAATGACTTACCCTCCTTTATACAGTGTTCTGTCCCATCAAATACATCAGTTGTGCTATTTGCTGATGATACAAGTGTAATAGCAGATGAATTAAATTTTATGCAGCTGGAAAAAAAACTTACTATGGTGTTTAGATCGATGAATGAATGGTTTAATTTAAATATGCTTTCATTAAATTTAGGCAAGACTTGCTGCATAAATTTCTCAGCTAAACATAATTTCACCAAAAAATTAAATACTGAATATGGAAACAAAACTTTATTAGAGTCAAATGAGGTAAAATTCTTGGGTATGACACTGGATAACACAATATCTTGGAAAAAACATATAGATTCAATTATAGGTAAATTAAATAAAGCCTATTACATAATTAGGAAAACCAAACAGTATTTAAATATTGATGCCCTCAAATTGGTGTATTACACCTTTTTCCACTCAGTAATGTCTTACGGTTTGATTTTTTGGGGAAATAGAACTCTCAGTATGTGCGTTTTTAAATTGCAGAAGAGAGCTGTTCGAATAATGGTGGGAGCTGGAAACAGAGATTCATGTAAAAAAATCTTTAGACAATTGAAAATATTACCACTGCCCTCTCAATATATATATTCTTTGATGATGTTTGTAGTTAATAATATGGATTTATTTGCAGAAAATTCAGATATATATACACAACTGTAACACGAAATAGTTCAAATTTGCATCTCCCCTTGTCAAATCTAACAGCATTTCAGAAAGGTCCACAGTATTTTGGAATCAAAATTTATAATAGTCTTCCAAGCAAAATAAAACAGTTATCCAGAAACAAAAATCGATTCAAGAAAGCACTATTACAATTTCTCCATTTACATTCATTTTATGGTATTGATGAAGTTTTTTATTACAGGGTTAAAAAGATTGATAATTGAGTTTATTGGGATTATATACATAAGTAATGAAAAGTTGAATTACAAATTTTATAATTTTAAAATTATGTTTACATAAATATTTTAACACGTACTATATTTTTTGTAATTATTATATTTAATTGTTATATTGGACTATTGTCTATATCCTGAGTCTTATGACCTTGTAAAGGATTTTTGACATGTAAATAAATGATAATGATAATAATGTTTCGGCAACATAGTGCCATCATCAGGTGCCCTAATTACGCTAATCTATTTCATTGCTTGCCTTGTTTAAATATAAAGGGTAATATCACTCAGGACTACAAAAATACAGTAAGATCGTTTAATAACTTTTTTTAGATATAAACAATTCTACGAAGAAATGGACAAATAATACTGTGGAAACAGATAAGAAGTTCATGGATTATTTATACACTTCATTTCCAAAACCATCCCAGAAATTGGTATTAAGAGCAACTAATAACAATGAAATAGAAGAGATAATAAGATCTATAAAACTTAAAGCAGCTTGTGGATACGATGGAATTACTACCAAATTAATAAAAGCAAGTGCACCATACGAGGGGGACCCAAAAATAACCGGAAACGACCTGCTGCGCGCGCATGCTTTGTAGTTACGAGTTGTGCTGCTAGGTGGTGTTAGCTGGGGGTCTCCCGCGACTGTTAGTGAGCTGGCGTCAGTCTGAGTTAAGTGGTTTGTCTGTGGTGCTCTGTTGTGTGCGTTCCTGTTTCAACCCTTTGGCGATTAGTGAGATGGCCGACCAGAAGGAACAAAGAGTGTGCAATTCATGTCGAAACTCGACATACTGAGTCTTATTAAAACTCAAGGTAAGCAAATTAGCATTAAGCCATGTATTTATGTCTTTGAAAGTTTGATTAAGATTTATTTCAAAGATTAACTTATTAGTGTCAGTTTCTATAATACTCCCAAAGGGGAAGCACAATAGACCATTGAAGGTTGCAGTGCTAGGGCCAGTTTTATGGCTCCCCTTTATACTCATTGGTGTCATCTGCAAATAATACCATATTATTATTTTAGGTAAATCAGTAATATAAAGCAGAAAAAAACAAGGGATCAAGAATCAAACTCTGTGGAACAGCACACTTAATTGTTTCCCATTAGGATGAGCTGTTACTGTCAATTCTATTACCCAATACAAGTCTTTGATATCCACTGGTCAGATAAGATCCTATAAGTGTTTTGAATTTTCCTTCAGTTCCACAGAATTCCAATTTATCCAATAATATTTTATGGTTAACACAATCAAACGCCTTTTGTAAATCACAAAAAGTGCTTCCCACCATTAACATATTATTCATTACAGTTAAAATATTATTTAACAATGTAAAAGCTGCCTTCTCAGTCGAGGAGTGTGTCCTAAAACCATACTGTTCATGTACCAACAGATTATTTGCTTCAATATCAGTAATAAGTCTCGCGTATATGAGTTTTTCAATGATCTTAGAAAAAGAAGTAAACAATGATATAGGTCTAGTAGTTGGATATATTATGAGTTTTCTCTTTTTTAAATAGTGGTTTAACTATGGCAAATTTTAATCTATCAGGAAAAATACCAGTACTAAGTATTGCATTACAAAAATGAGTAAGTGGAGAAATTATAAATGGTGAACTTAATTTTATTATTCTGTTTGAAATTTCATCATATCCACTTTAGTTTTTATTCTTTAATGATTTAATATATTTTTTTTTTTAATTTCATAGGTGGAGGCATACTGCCAATTCATTTTAGGTCTACCAAACATTATACTAAATGATTGATTGGATTGGATGAATTCGAGCTTATATATTTATTATTATCCAATATGACAGAATCAGCTATGGATAGAAAGTGTTTATTAAAAGCATTTGAAATTTTGTTCTGATCCATTATTACTTTATTATCTACAATTATGGAATGAATACCTTTATCCCTTTTTTATTTTCCCTTTATCCTCATTTATTATTTTATTTATTTGCCAAGATATGCAAAGTGTGTTACTCATAAGTACATACTCAGGAATATGCTGCTACATACAGTGAGAAATTAAATGTCATACTACTTACAGACAAAAATTGAACGGCTTAAAAACCACATCAATATTTCTGGCCGAGCGGACCTACTGGTTTCTGTTTCGGACTGCAAACGGAAATACATGGTTAATGAAATGTTTAAAATCACAATCTTACTTTGATCTCAAATTTGCTCAATACTGAAAGCCATTTTCTTACCATTTTGAAATGTGATGCTTTTTCTTCTAAATATTTTCTTCTGGTGCTTTCTGAAAAGAACGGCAAAATATATACACAAAACCACTTGCTTGCGGTTTTTCCAAGCCCTTATTTTAGAGGTTAGATATTGTGTTGAACGTCACTATTGTATTTTCAGTCGATTGTGCAGTCAACGAGAGAAAAATCGTACTTACACGCTTGAACTAATGTGCCGCATTAGTACTTTTTTTGATTGCGCTGATATACTTACTTTTCTTCAAGTTGTTATTATTTGCATACTAATACAAACACATGTTTGTTTCTGTGTGACTTTTCGGTTCAGAGACAGCCCTTGCCGTCCTTGCCGGTCCTTGCTACCAAACCAATGCCATGGATTACCAAGTGATATATGCTAAACTGTGCTATGTAGTTACGGTAGTTACCGCGAGAACCAGAAATCCAGGAACTTGTTTGGAAAAATGCAAAGTTGTCCCTGTGCTTAACTAATTAAGTGTATATGGGCCGCGCCATATTGATGGATTGAAGTGTTCAATAGTAAGCAATAATATAAATCTACACTTAATATTCTTATCTGAGCATCACATGTCAGACCAGAAATTATTATACAGCAATTTCCAGAACTATGTACTGGGAACAAAGTATGCCCGTACGACTCATTAAGGATGAGGTTTATGTGTATACATATAAATTTACTGCTATTAATTTAGCACAGTTCTGGGGTTAAAAGAACATAGAAATTTGTACACTTAAGATTTCGATAGCAAAAACTAACATATTTGTACTGTGTATATATAGGTCACCTTGTGGGCATTTTGAATACTTTGTAAATAAGTTGGATAAAGTACTGAAATTACTCCATAAAACAAAAATTGAATTTATAATATGTAGTGATTTTAACAAAAATTTTTTAGAAGAGACAGCATGTAAAACACAACTACTAGTGCTGTTGCAATCATATAATATATTTCATACAGTACAGTTCCCAACTAGAATAACTGTGACCAAAAGCTCTGCAATTGATAATGCAAGGATAAATTCATATGATGTTATCTCAGTAATGGACTATTGGATCACGATGCCCAGTGTCTTGTACTAAAAATATCAATTTCCTGGAGAAGAAAAAAGTGCAGGGAATCTCAACAAGATTAGTAAATGAAGATTCAGTTGCACAATTTTTTAATAAACTATCTAATGAAAAATGGGGAAAAAATATATAAACTTAATTATGTAAATGAAATATTCAATTCATTTTTAAATAAGTATTTACTTGTCTATGAGTCATGCATTCTGATGCAAAATGTAACAAATAAACACAATGATAATGGCTAGATAAGAGCTGGAATACGTACCTCCTGTAGATGGAAGGAATCTTTCTTCATTATCATTAGAAACAATTACAACTATTTATTTAAATCATACCATAAATCCTACTGCATGTTATTAAGAAGAGTAATAAGAGAAGCTAAAAGGAAATATTATAATCAGTTAATTACATCAGCTGAAAACAAAATAAAAACTATCTGGAACATTGACACTGAAATAATAGCGATAATAATAAAGAACGTCTACCACACACTTTTCAAAATAATAGTAAAAAAATAAATATTGATGAAGCTGCTCATAGTTTTAATAAAAATTTCACATCAATAACCGAAAATCTTGCAGAAGTATAATTAACAAATTAAAATAAAAGAACTCTTCAGGTTATGATAGCATAACCAATAAAATTATAAAACTGTGCAGACAACAAATTAGTAAACCTCTAACTTATGTAATTAATAAGTCATTAACCATGGGTCTATATCCAGAAAGATTAAAATATGCAATTATTAAGCCAGTATACAAAAAAGAGGAAAAGGCTGTTATTAGTAACTACAGGCCAAGATCTATAGTAATTGGGTTTGCAAAAGTATTTGGAACAGCAATTTTTAGAACACTCAATGATCATATTGTAAAACATAAAATATTATTTTCAGAGCAGTAGGGATTCCAAAAGGGATTATCAACTGAAGATGCTATACATAAATTAAACAATGTACGAGTATACTTACAGCTTGGAATAGAAATGTGTATGTAACTGGTATATTTTGTGATATAGCCAAGGCGTGAAGGTGTGAATTTGACAGTGGTTTTTCCACGGCCTAGGTGTGTTGTCTTACAACTTGTGCTGTCTGTGTGAGGCCTGATTATATATTCTATTTGACCAAGGATGTATGATGTGTAGTCATCATGAATTTGTAATGTGTTACATGTTTTATATCCAGCCCTACAGGGAGATGATTGGATCCATGGAGTGAAAATAAATGTAAATGTAGACTGAGACAGAATTTTACTACATACAAGAAAGGATGAGAGAGGGAGTTAATAAAGCTGTTCCACTATATAGTCATACAGTCATGAACACTCATTTATTGTATTTGTATGATATACAGTAGCCAAAATAGCATCACATTGTGTAGCAAACACAAGTTCATATAAAATACCCCTCAGATCTATGTTACATGTAGTTTATAAACAGATCTATAAAAATATTGTCATCCTGGCAAATGCATGCTGCATTATTTTTCAGTTGTTATAAATTATTCAAAACACTGATCAGAAGCACCATATTTTATGCAATGTAGTGATTATGAACCATGTACATATATGTCATATGTACTGTAACTTCATAATAAACAGCACTGTTAAATAGGCAACTAAAAAAAAATCATAAAACCTTTGGAGCATTATAGGTACTAAGATCATGAAATGGAAAATATCAAGTTGTTACTGAATTATTCAGGAAATGCACATTTCTAGAGGTGGGAGCAATAGTTTTCAGAACATTTTAACATTATTCATAGAATCATGATCATGACATTTCTTCAGTCACATAAAATGACCTTGCCATATCAGGCACAAGAAACACTGGCTCTTTTGACCAGTATTTATTTGGTGTTTGAGAAGGTGAACAAAGAAGCATCTTCACACCCAACCTATCAACAGTTATAGCTAAAGATTTTGGGCATTTCAACAAAAATTATACATTATCATGGGAATATACTATGAGGTTTACCTCGTATTTAAATAACATCAGGATAGAAAATATTAAACATGGTTTAACATGAATAACTGGAAGAATTTCTTGAAAAAATAAGCAACAAACGTTTCATAGTCCTTCTTACTGCCTAGATGTATCCGAGAAGTCAAATATAATTTCTATTTAAACAGTGAAGTGTAGAGAGCTTTTAAAGAACGCTTCCATTCACTCCACATACCTGCAATAAGGCATAGTTATGGTAGTAAATATAAAACTGATAATTGCTATAAAAAGTATTCTAAGGAAACTTGCATCACAGAGCTAGAGATGTCAATATGACTACAAAGAGATGTACTCCAAAACATGGATTATGATTCCATAGATTTGCCAAGTAAAGCCCCACTGGGCTAGCGAGGAGAATATTAAAAGGTTCACTGTATTTTACAATTTTTATTTACATGAAGTACACTCTAAAATTCTTCTGAAGGTCAGAATCTCTGGTGAAAAATACCTGCTGAGCATGTAATCTCCTGCAGCAACTATGTCATGTGCCCTATATAAATTTCAAAGCAGTTTGGACCTTACTTTGTGCTACAAAAAGCCTTCTTGAATCATTAATTGAAACTCATGCCCAAATATCACTGTAGCTCAAGAGAAAATTTCTACTTCACATTAGCAGAATTAAAATATGTAATGTATAAATGCTGAAGTGCTAATAAATACAATTTGTATCCTTCTCTTATTATGTCCATTGCTGAATGGCCTTACATGGGTCATATTTCTGTTAATAAACAGCAGGAAAGGATAAAATCTTGTAACTTTGGTTATCATTTCCACTCCACCAGTAACAGTTCTGATTTACCAACTGGCTGCTCACTGTGGCGCTCAAAATAGAAGCCACACATGCTATGCCAAAATGGTAAAGTGAATTACTATCTATCAGAAAATTAAAATTAAAAGGTATACAATCTTACAGAGTTCAAACTCAGAAACTTGAATCTTCAAACTCAACTTTTTAAGATGGGTCTATGATATGTCCAATATCACACATTTCAAGTTCCAATAAAACGTGACTATTGCTCCTATTCCTAACATGTGACTTTTGGGCTTCTACAGGAGTAAAAAACCCTGTTCCTTTGAGAACTATTTTGTACTTTCAATAATTTCATGCAAACACACGAATGTGCTCTCTCTCGCTCTGTGAATTGGAAATTGGAAACAGATGATTAAACATGGTGGCTTCAAATTATCACATTTGGGGTGCACAAAAAAAAAGAAAGATATGGCTAATTTAAATCCTGACAATGGTGACAGGATTCAACTGATACACAATCCAAAATACACACANTTCTTGATATAGGTATAAAGATTAATATTAGTTACTATAAATGCAATCTGTATCTTTACAACTTCATGACATGTTAAAAATGTGTTTCTAATTGAACCACATATTACCAAATGTTCAATGTAACATATTCTGTGAAGTTTCTGATGACAGCAACTTCAGTCTATGTATCATACAATTACTCATAAGTTCTCAATGCCACAAAAGCTATGAATCTTCTATTCAAAATGTTCATTTACAGAAACAAAGATAATTTCAGTTAATTAATGACTTCAGACCACTGCTGGTGGATGTGATGACACATGAACATTTTCATATTATGTACATATATTTTTAATATTAAAGTCTTGAAATTTAATCACTGATAAAGAATGCCATCTTCTGGGACGTGGCACTGTGTAGATCTTGGTGAACCTACATTTCGGAGGAACGCATCACCTCCATCTTCGGGATAGAAAATTCTGTGAGCAAGGAATCAGTGTGAGTAGGTGGCAGGTCAGTTCACACAAGATCTACATGGCACCACATCCCAGAAGACAGGATTCTTCCTAGTTACCACTGTGAAAACCTCAAATCTTACTTAACCACCGATATTTGAGAAAAGAAGAGGTAATGGGCACCAGGTTCTCTCACTAAGCTCACCTGACTGTGACTGATGCATTTAAATGTTTCTAAAGAGAATTAATTCCAAAAAGTAGTCAAACATAATATTGTGACCCTAACTAACATACCCATCGAAATTACCCTTATGTGACTGACAACATATAAAACAAAACTGTTGGTTGCAAAGTTAATTTACTTGATTTAAACATAAACTCTGTAATTCTGAACATGTTTTGAAGTCACTAACAAATGAGGCACAGAAATAATTTTTTACCTTCTCATCTATGCAGTGTGACTTAAGTACTACAGGGGATGGACAAAAATATGGATACACCCAACAAAAAACATTACCGTGACTAATATGGTGTAGGAAAACCTGTGGCTTGCAGAACTGCTTGCAGTCTCCTTGGAATGGACAAATAGAGGTCCTGCATGATTTGCAAGGGAATCCTGTACCATTCTTCCTGAAAACTTTGTAAGTTCTGTTTTCGATGATGGAGGTGGATAGCGCGCACGCAGATTGCTCTCCAAAACAGACCACAAAGGCTCAATAATATTGATATCTGGCGATTGTGGGGGCCTGGCAGACGTGACACTTCATCTTCGTTCTCAGAAAACCAGTCCTGGATGATGTGAGCTGTGTGAACACAGGCATTGTTGGCTTGGTAAATGGCATCACCATTAGGGAACAAAGTTTGCACCATGGGATGGACCTGGTCGCCCAAAATGATCACACAGTCGTTGGCAGTGATGTGACCTTGCAGGGTAATGATGGCTCCAACAGATTACCATGATATGGCTGTCCATACCATGATCGAACCCCTGGCATGTTTCACTCTTGGCAGCAAACAATCTGGATTGTAAGCTTGGGATGGCGTTCTCCAGATGTAAACTCAGCCAGAAGTCGGAAACAGTGTGAAGGTGGACTCATCTGACCAAATGACCGTCTTTCTTTGCTCCATAGTCCAGGTTTTATGACTTCGGCACCACACTGTCCTCTTAGTGGCATTTTGATCACTGATGAGTGGCTTTGGAATTGCAGCTCATCCAGAAATACCCTGCTTGTGGAGTTCCCTTTGTACTGTTTTGGTCCTGGCAGGGTTTGTGAACGTGACATTCAGTTCAGCAGTCACTTTTGCAGCTGTAGTCTTCTTATTTTTTGTCACAATCCTACTCAATGTTCGTCTGTTTGATCACTCAACACACATTTCCATCCACGCTGGTGTTTATCGGATGCGGTTTTTTCAGTCCTCCTGTATGCGGTCATAAACTTGGATACTGTGTCTCGCGAAACACCAAAACCCTCGGCTACCTTGGTTACGGAAGCACCCACCATATGGGCCCAAACAATTTCCCGCGTTCAAATTCTGTTAGCTCTGACGTGATGCACAAAAAATTGCACAGAACACTGTCTCGACAACAAATGAAGCTTGCAACATATTGCGGAGGTTGTACAGGTAGTGGTGTTGGGCAGATATGACAGCGTGACCTACAAACGTCATTAAAATTAACACTTCTATTCGGGCATGCATTTCACGAGGTGTTTCCATATTTTTGTCCATTCCCTGTATTATCATGAAGACCTTATCCCCAGAGTTTACTGGATTTACATGTTTTCAGTCTCCCTGAACATGAAAAAGTGATTTTTTGAATGTCATCTGTCTTGCTCCTCACTACTGCCTGAATCGTTGGAACAGATTTTATTCCTGTTCGCATGTTTAGCATTATCTTCAGGAAAATAATGGTACATCCTCTAGGGGTCTAAATGTGAACTGTTAAGTTTTCTTGGAAATGGCTTGATCAATTTTGATTAAATTTTAATGTACAGAAGCGCTTGACCAAAATATCCTAAATATAAAAGAATTCAAACAATGGGTCACTGGCCAGGGCTCAATCACAAAATATTATCAATTTCAAAAAAGGTCTCTGATTACATTTTGCCAATACAGAGTTCTGGCTGCACCAAATAAAACTGCATTGGTCATATTTCCTAAAAAATAACAATCTGATCTCTGGGGCCAAAACACAAAATTAAATATTATTTTAGGAGAGTAGAAGGCTGTGATCTGTCAAGTGTATGTGAAAAAAGTATGTGCAATGGTTCTTCACTGATTTTTTTAAAGATATAAGCATGAAGAAATGATCTTCCACGTGTGGCCGAGGGGAAACATAAATATGGTTACTCCAATAACTATGAATTGGAAAGAAATATATGAAATGCCTTTTATGAATTGGAAAGAAATACATGAAATACCTTTAAGTAAAAGCTCAGGAAAGATCCAAACTCGAATGGGTGTGAACCCAGAAATAGCAATTAAGCAAGTAGAGACATCTCAACATGAAGTATCTAACAGTAGATTATCAGGAAGAGAAAGGAAGACCCCCGTTATTAGGTCAAACATTTTTTATTGTAAAGGCAAATATTATAGATAATAAGGAATTTTTTAGTCTTCCTATCACAAATGCCAAGTGCATTAAATCCCATATGAATATGAAACCTAGTTGTAATAAAGGTGCCCCAAAAGTAACTAATCGAAAAATTTTTCTAATTTACAAATTTATCATCAAAATATTAGGGGAATACACAATAAACTTGATGAATTACTTAGTCAATGTGAATCTAAAATACCCCAAATATTTTGTCTTATGGAACATCATTTATCTACGGCTGAAATTATATGGACTTCAATTAATTTATATAACTTGGGTGCTTATTTCTGTCATAAATCTAGGAAAAATGGTGGTGTAAGTATATTTGTCCAGCATATCTTGCAATATACACCCACTGATCTGGAATAATTCTGTTTGGACCAAGGAACTGAAGTGTGTGCTATAAAATTACATCGTAGTACTAATAATATTTGTATTCTAATGATACATAGGGCTCCATCTGGTAATTTTGTTTACTTTTTAAATACTCTTGAGGTTATTCTTAACAAAATTCATACAAAATTCACGAATATTATACTATGTGGTGACATAAACATCAATTATTTGGATGATAAGGGTTCTAATAGACTAAAGCTGGATTCCTTATTAGCTTCATGTCATTTAGAGGGTATAGTGGATTTCCCTACTAGAGTTCCCTGTACTTCGGCGACTGCAATTGATAATTTTCTTATCAATAAAAGTAGAAACAAAAACTTTTTAATAACCTCAATGTCTAATGGGCTATCTGATCATGATGCCCAAATTCTCATTTTGAAGAATCTAACATTTCCAAACCTACCTAATTATCCTATTCCTAGAAGAATAATAAATTAATTTGGTATGAGTCTTTGTCATGAATCTTGGGCTGATGTTTTTAATATAAGTGATGATGTGAACTTGATGGTCAATAATTTTCTTAATACATATATAAGAATATTTAATCATAGTTTCCCCTGTAAAATGTATTTCGTAAATGAAAAAAATCAACCCTGTATAACTACTGGAATTAAGGTATCTTGTGCCCATAAAAGAGAGCTGTATATGCTTAGTAAGAAAACTCAAAATCCTAACCTAATAAGACACTATAAGAACTATTGTAAGGTGTTAACTGAGGTTATAAAGGAAGCAAAAAATCATTGTACGTAGGGAAGTAAAAAATTATCCGCACTCTTGTTTTTCCAATCCATATATACAAAAGTAGGGGTTGAACAAGTACTTCATTTTTCTGCATAGTCTCCTCACTTTTCGATGCACTTGGTCCAGCGGTCCAAAAGCTTGCATATTCCCTCCACAAAGAAGGTTTTCGGTTGGTCGCACAACCATTTATGCACCGCTTCCCCCACTTCTTTGTCCGTAGAAAATAAAAAATCTCGTAAAACATCTTTGAGCGGTCCAAAGAGATGATAGTCAGAAAGGGCGATATCTGGGCTGTAGGCAGGGTGTTCCAGCGCCTCGAAACACACATGGTTAATGGTCTGGTGATCCTTGTGAGAGTGTTCATTGTCATGCAACAACAACACTTTCTTCGACAATAGGCCTCAGTGTTTGGTGCGAATTCGTGGCTTCAGACTGTTGGCCAGCAAAGCACTGTATCTTGCACTGTTGATCGTACACCTTTTTTCCAGGTGGTCTTCCAGTATAGGCCTTTTTGAGTCCCAAAGAACGGTTAGCATCACCTTTCCCACGAAAGATTGAGTCTTGAATTTCATCTTCGTTTGCGATCCCGGGTGTTTCCAAGCCATACTCTGGCTTTTGGATTCTGGCTCATAGTGATGAACCCACATATGAATTTCAGCCCCTGACACACCTTCCAATCAGAGAAATCGGATCACTATTCTTTGTTAATCATTGGTGCACACTGCTAGCAGAGTGGCCATGTTTACACT